AATTCTCCACATTTTGGTCCTTTTTGCTCCAAATTAGCTCATTTTTGCATCTTTTTGCTCCATTGACCTTAATTCATCATTCCTGCAACAAAAAATCAAAAATACCTTTCTTTAAAGTGCAATATCATTAAAAATAATATAAAAGAGGTACAAAAATCTCAACAAATTTTACTTTGATCATTTGTGTTAACCCAAAATTTTGTCCTAGTTTTCGGGTTTGAAGTTTAGATTCCCTAGCAGATTTTAAAGGCTGAAGCTATGAGGGATTAGTTGCTTAGGAGCAAGGAGCAACATTGTTGTTGAGTGTGACAAGGTTTGGGAGCTCTCTGTGAAGTTCTTTTTTTTTGAGCTATCAGGTAATGGCTTTTAAATAGCCATTGGAGGCCTTGGGGAGGTTCATGGTTGATTGGAGAAGATGGGTGGTGGCTTAGAGAATCTCCGAGGATCAAATTTGCTCATGAATAGTCAATCCTTGCATTTTCCATGGTGTGCTCATGATGGCCCAAAACATGGAGAAGAAGGTGGGTTATGGTGGGCTAGGGAATTGTTAAATTCCATTGGATGGGAGGAAAGGCAAATGATGATCTCAGAGTCAACTTGGCCTGGCCATCATCTCCTAATCAAAGAAGATTGAGGTGGAAGTCATATGAAGTACCATGCAAACATTCTCCTTTATGATGGCATGGGTTGGGTCAAAGTTGGTGGCTTGCTGTATTTCCCATGAGTTTCCTTATGTGTCATGTGTTTCATTTGGGTCATGGATGATCAATTACAAAATGGGCCAAAAATGGGCCATGAATGGGCCTTAGGCTTTAAGCTAGGGTTTTAGGTTTTAACCCTCGACCGAAGGATCCAAAATTCATCTTTATAATTAATTAACCAATTAATTAATTAAGAGAGTGAATTGGTGGATCACATGATCATGGAGGGCTCATGGTGATTAAGAGTCGATCATTTGATCGATCCAAAATTCATCTTTGTAATTAATTAACCAATTAATTATATAAGAGAGTGAATTGGTGGATCACATGATCATGGAGGGCTCATGGTGATTAAGAGTCGACCGTTTTACTATGGGTTGATCATTTGACCATGGGTTAACCATTTGACCATGGGTTGACCATTTGACCATGGGTCGACCATTTGGTCAAAAGGGGTCGACCATTTGGTCAAAAGGGGGGTCGACCATTTGGGTCAAAAGGGGTCGACCATTTGGTCAAAAGGGGTCGACCATTTGGTCAAAAGGGGTCGACCATTTGGTCAAAAGGGGTCTATTTGGTTAATTTTGGTCCAATTTAGGCTTTGGTATTGCCGACTTAATCAATCTAGGATGTCACCAAGGTTTGGGATCAAATGGAGTCACCTTAGGGTTTGACCTAATTTTTAAGGTTTAGGGGCCTCTGGTGAGATCCAAGATCAATATTGATAAATCCCTCCACAAAAGGGGAGCTTAAGGTTTAGTGGTAGCTCGTGAAGTTCATATGTCAATTTTCTAGGATTTCTGTTTGGTCCGATGTTTTGTTAAGTAGGGCCTCAATAGGTATAATCCTGGTCTAGGATCATTGGTGAGAAGAGTATAGTGTATCCTCACAAAAGTGAGTTGAATAAGGGTCACTAATTGAGTTTGGTTCCAGATTTGATGAGGTTGAGGTGGTACTTAATGATCTCCCTCACACATTATTGAAGACGATTGCTTCAAGTGTAGAACCCCCAAATGAGTTCGACCTGAAGTCCGACCAAGACTTCTCTCTACTCAGGAAAACCCTACGCAAGAAAGTTTCTACCTTTAAAAGAACTCTGAAATCTATTGTTGTTGGTCCTGCCAATGAAACTAAGGAAGTCAAATGTAAAGGAAAGTTTATCCTCATAGAGGAAGAAGAGTATGTTCCACCACTCACATTTGAGATTGGCTTCAGTTCCAAGTTCGTGTCACTTACCCACACTCAGTGGAGGAATAGGAGCCGCTCCTCCTTAAAGAAGAAAAAGAACAAAAATGATAGAATGGAGGCTGATGAGCCCAAGGAAATGAGACTCCCAGAAGATTGTTTTTAGGAGGAAGGGGGTTCTACCCATCGTCCGTTGCTCACAATGAGGAAGATGTTCGTAGGATTACTATCAGTCCACCTTGATCTCTCTCCAGATAGACAAAAAAGAAATGTCTATTTATTTTAAGTATTCGATTCATTTTTGTGACACTTGCACAAAAGGAGAGGTGATCAATCGCCCAAATTTTGCATGGGAAGGGATGCCCAGACTCTCCAAAAATAAGAAGAGAAATTCTGAACAAAGAAAGCCCACACCGCATGTATCAAAAGGATGATGCACTTAAGTTCCTCACCAAGCTCTGCTTAGGGGATCAACTGATTCCATTTATTCTACCCCGAGCACCGACAAAACTTCATTTGGGGCCCAAAATGACAGATAATACCACCTTCATAGAAAAAAATAATGTCTTTACTCTCCCACCAGCTAGACCGAGACACCGTCCACCTTCCCAACCAAAACATGAGGAACTGCTTTGGAGAGCCAATGAAGCATCTGTTAGCATGAAATCACTTGTGCGGATGTTACAAGCCAGGGATCATACCTGCTTACAACTCGAGGACACACCTCCTATGGTAACCTGCCCCATACTAAAAAAGAACGTATGGAGCGCAAGCCATCAGAGGAAGCCTCCGATGTTGTAGGTACATGGTCCGTCATTTTGGTTGATAATCCTCAAGAAGATACAAATTCAATAAAAGAAAGATTATAAAAGTTAAGAGCTGATGTTAGACAGTTATCGTCAGATAAAAGAAGGAACTCTCCCAATGACATGAAGGAGGAGTTTGTAGAAATCAACATGATGGAGACACGAGCCACCTCATATGCAAGAAAGTTGCCACCACCAAGTAATGAAGAATTGATAGAAGAGTTGTGGAGGATCATACAACATAGATATGAGCAGATCAAGAATCTCGAGAAGAAAGTCAAATAGATGATGGCTGCGCTAGCAACTCTACACAATTTGCCACAAGTGACACAATCGTCACCCGCTGAGACCACCTGGCCAAAGGCAATCCACATTCTCGATGACAAAGGAGAATTGACAGAGGTCAAAGAGGAAGAAAATTCAAAGAAAAAGGATTCCACCCAAAATGGAATCACTCGAAAAATACAACACTCAGTTAGTTGAGGAGAAAATAAAAAAAATGATGGCTCATATGAGGAGCATACCACTTGTTCCATGGGGCAGACCATACCCAATGGAATTTGATTCATTCCAATATCCTAAAGGCTTCATAACTCCACTTTTCAAAGTGTTTAATGAGACTGAAACCATTGTTAGCATGTTGCACACTTATAAGCAAGTTGTTACAATGCGGGGTAGCGACTCTCTTTTGTTTTGCCAGTTCATCAACAACCTTATACAATTTCATCCATAAAATGTGTAGATCGTCAAGAAATAATAGTTAACTCTTCTACACATCAAAATTATCCAATTATTTAGATAAAAATCTTTTAAGGTTATGTGTTGTATGATATAGAGCTCGAGCAAACTTGTTGTTGACAAGTTTGCAGGTGTGGATTGTCCTGTTATTAATAAATAATGATATATATGCTGATAGATTAGAGTTCTGTAGCTTGTCATTTCCAAAAGTACAACTAATGAGTATGATTGATCTGGTCAGTGCTAGACCATTAAATGCACGGTTGGTGGGCTCGATCCATTAAGCCCATGAGACCCATTTAGTACTTGGGCTTTCTCGTTTCTTAAAGAAATTAAGAAACTAATTTTCGGTTATATATGTGACATAAACATATGCATAAAAATGAGTATTCAAATTTAAAAAAAAAAGTATAAAATGGTGCTATTTTTAATGTGATGCGAAAATTGAATGTGTTATGTATGAGAATATAAAAGTTTAGATTAGAGGTATATAAAAATTGTGTGATATATATGCAAACACCCCACAAAACAAAAATGATCCTCCATTAAAAAAAAATTCAATTTTAAGCTTGCATTTATTTGAGAATTTGACCATCGTTCATCATCACCCCAAACAAAAAAGGAACTAAATTTAGTTCACTTTGACGGCAATAATTATAAAGCTTCAAATTTGCTCCATAAACTCACATGGGAGGGCAGCTATTGTAATTTTTTTATGAAGTGTCTTAATCTATTGATCTTATAATTGTACAATTCGGTTATTATTTATTACGATATGGTCATCAATAAATATAAGCATGAACTATTTCGCTCTTCCACAAACCAAAATACCTAATTGCCCCTATCAAATCTCGCCCCTACTCGTCGCCTACCACGGCAAGTTCTGATGCCTTTCCAGCCGCCACTAGCCTTAGCCTCCACCATTCTCTCTCACTTTAGTTGGGATATGGCGCATAGGAAAACAGAAGCTGGACGAAAGTGACGGAAAAGGAAGTATAAAATAAACAGAGCTTAGCTGGTTTCCTCTTCTGCTTCTTTATCTTCCTTCTACTCTCTTCTTTCCTTTTCGTTTCTTCGTCTTCACCGCCACCATAATCAAAACATCAACTTGAGTGGATTAAAGAGTTGCGCAGAAGAAAAAAAGCAATCTTTTTCTTTAATGGGCACCGGGTGGCTGGTGGTGGTGACGGCGGCGCTTCTGTTGTCTCTACTTACCCCGGCGGCCGCCTCAGTTGCCTACGATCACAAGGCAATAATCATAAATGGTCAGCGAAGGATTCTCATTTCCGGGTCCATTCACTATCCGAGAAGTACCCCTGAGGTCCGCTCAGCTCTCTTTACAGAAATGCGGCTTCTTTTATTATTCTGCTGCTGCTGCTCTCTCTCTCTCTCTCTCTCTGCCTCTTTTCCTTCCCCCTTTTTGCAAATCTTTTAGGTTTGGATTTGCTGTTGTTTTCAGATGTGGCCGGATCTGATTCAGAAGGCTAAAAATGGAGGTTTGGACGTTATACAAACCTATGTCTTCTGGAATGGACACGAGCCCTCTCCTGACCAGGTGTTCCGCCCCTTTCTAATTTATTTCTGTAATTGTACCCCTTCTTGCTTATTTGGGCTTTCAGCTCATTCAATCAAGAGTTTAATTTTATTATCTTTTTCATTTACTTTTTAATTTTACAGTATTTTTTTGAGGATAGATATGATCTGGTTCGCTTCATCAAGCTAGTGCAGCAGGCTGGCCTCTATGTCAACCTTCGCATTGGACCCTACATTTGCGCTGAGTGGAATTTTGGGTGAATTCTTCACTCTCCCATGTTCAAAATTTTAACCTTCTTTCATTTCAGCCTCAATTAAAAACCAATTTTTGGTCTGGATTAACTATTTACATCTTTAAGAAATATTCTCTTTGATGAACAGGGGATTCCCAGTCTGGCTAAAATACATTCCTGGGATCCGGTTCCGAACGGATAACGAGCATTTCAAGGTAACAATTTAACTTCTCAATCCATTGCTCTTTTCTCCATTCCTTCTTGGTTTGATTTAAACTCCATCTTGAATAGGCTGCAATGGAGAAATTTACAGCAAAGATAGTTTCTATGATGAAGGCTGAAAATCTATTCGAGTGGCAAGGTGGCCCCATCATCCTTTCTCAGGTTTCTATTGATACCATCCTATATTCTTCTTCAGAGGAACAAAACAAGAAGAAGAAGAATGTACATTGTTTATATATATCAAAAAAAAGATTACATATAACCGGCTGGGGGTTCTAACTATACCCAAAACACATTACTCAAAATAAAAACTTGTGGATCCTCCACTGAGAGATAACACAAATAGAACAAATTCTATAAAAATAAAAAAAATAAAAATAAAACTATAAATTCTATATTATTGTTTAAAAAAATGATTTCAAATACAAAAAAAAAAAAGCAAAGAAAAAATCATCAACTATATCTTATAAATGGTAAATCTAAGTTATCTCCATAGATAATCATGGCAAGTGCTGGAGGAGGATGAGTACCTATATTCGGGCAATTAGAGCAAGTCCCCAAGTTGGCCAAAAAATCAACCACTCTATTAACCTCTCTGAAGCATTTATACCACTGGATGTTGAAATCAGGTAGCGTATTTGTAATTCTTCTTCAGATTATTTCACACACCCAAGGACATGTTTGCCTTCCATTACATTTTTGAAAAGTCAATAAATAGTTTTTCTTAATCTGCGGACATCTTAACTCGAATTGCTTTGCAATCATAAGACAAAGCAATGCAACCATCAATTCAGAATATATAGCATAAATGGAAGAAGACCGTGCTGAAAAAAAACAATAAACAATTACCATTACAATCCCTCACAATTCGTCCCACACCAACCTTCTCCTTTTTAAACTTCTATATAGATTAATTTTAAAAAAAAGGTAAAATGATTTGTTCCATCTCACTAGTTGAACGGGAAAGTTCACAGTTTTTTCCCTCGAACAAGCTTATCACCCCAAATGCTGGACATTACTTTGATAAATTTAGCACACTTTTTGCTAAATTTTCACCACTTTACATATATAGGATTTAATATTCACCAACACTCTATTACTTGAGTGCTGTACTTCCTGATGTTTCCTGCCATTTTGTTCTATCCAAATAAACAAAAAACATATATACGGTATCATATTTAGTAAATGAAAACCCTTATGCTTCCTTCCCAATTCTGCAAACATTGGCTTAAAGAATGATACCCCCTGTTTAAGGAATAAAGATGCTAAATTGACTTGCCAAATTCCTTCGAATAAATTTCGAGAACTTGCAAAATATGTGAGAAAGATTCTTCCTCTTGTCTACATAGTAGACAAATAGAGGGAATCTTTAGCCCTTTAAGTTTAAGTATATTATCCGTGGGAAGAAGATTAAGATCACTTCTCCAAGCAAAGAAAGACTAAGTTGGTTTTAGAACTCCATTCCAGATGTGGTCCCCCTTCCCATTATTTTGGTAAATATAAAGCTTATTTGCAATAGCTTTACTGATAGACTCAGTCTTTTTTTTTTAACTCTAATAACATCAGATTTAGTTTTGTCAATAGGAATATAAGCTATATACTTCACCAAATCACCATTCAAAATTTCCCCCGACTTAGGGCTCGTTTGGGGCAGCTTATAAGTGTGGGTGACGTTTTCAAAACATCGTCGTACCGTTTGGTTCACGCTTTTCGCTAGCTTATCCAAAACAACATTTGAGTTTTTACACTAAACGCAGACCGCGGGTCGAATCCCTCAGCTAGCCTGTGGGCCGCGTTTCAGGATACGCAACTTATCCTGCAACGCACAAGCTGCCCCAAACGCACCCTTATTAAGGCCCCAACCATTTCCATTCCAGATATCTACAATCCTCATATGTTTATCCAGAATATCATTTGAGATATTTCAAAAAGGTCCTAGTAATGACCAATCATCATACCAGAAACTCACCATACCATCCCCAAGTTCCCATGTAAAAAACTCCTCGGTCTTATGTTTAACTTTAAGAAGTTCTTTCCAAACTAAAGAATTCCTCATTTTTGGATTACATAAAAAAGGATGAGAAGATTTGAAGTATCTCCTCTTCATACAATTCGCCCACAGCCCTTGTTTGGATCTATTTTTGATCCAAAGTTTACAACAATTAATTTCCATGGTTTGATTGAAAATTCTAAAACCCAAACCATAATCTTTCTTAGGCTTACACAACTTACTCCAAGTAGTCCAATGGGTGCCTTTCCCATGGCCAACCCACAAAAACTTATTAAAAATTATCTCCACTTTCAACTCCATGCTACATGACATCTTAGTGATTTGAAGGATATACATTGGCAAAGAAGTCAACACACTATGAAGAAATGTCAACCTTCCTCCAAAAGATAGGAAAGAATTATGCCAACTTTGAATTCTACTATTTTTCTTATGTCAATTTCTTGTTTCTGGTATTGGTAAGTTGTATACTAAGGTACTTCTTAGGTAAAACAGTAACCTTGAAACCAATAAAACTTTCAATCCAATTTTTTCTGTCCAAAGGCACCTCTTTGCCAAGAGATGCCTCATATGTGTCAACGTTAAATTTCATCCCAGAAACAATCTGGAAACGATCCAGGATTTTATAAATATGCTTGATATTATTCTTACTAATGTTGCAAAAAATAATAACATCATCAACATAAGCAAGATGAGACACCAGCTCCCCACTCTTAGCAGTGTACCTACCTAGTGGATGAGAGTATAAATGTTGGTTTAGTATTCTTGACAAATAATCCATAGCAATAATAAAAAAAGTTCGGAGATAATGGATCTCTTTGCTTGAGCCCTCGTTCAGATTTAAGGTGACCCTTACATTGCCCATTAATTAAAATAGAATAGTTATTATTCTCAATGAATATCTATATGAGATTAGAAAATTCTGAATTAAAGCCTCTTGTCCTAAGAATAGTCATAATGAACTTCCAACTTATAGTAGTATTGGCTTTCCTAATATCCAACTTTATAATACCTTTTTTGCCTCTACACTTGCTGTCTAGATTCATCATCAACTCCTGTGCAATCATAATATTATCTGTAACATATCTTCCTGCAATGAATGTTGTTTGTTGTTGACAGATAATAGAATTTAGATGAAGCCTTTTCACCAATACTTTGCTAATGATCTTAGATACCACAGTAGTAATACTAATGAGCCTAAAATTTTTCCATTTATGTTTGAAATTTTCCACAGGGATTGGCACAATAGAAGAACACCTAAAGTATTTATGTGGAAGGAATCCTATAAAGTAACTTTGAATAGCTGGTATAAGATGTGTTTTAATGATCTCCCAAGATTCCAAATAGAATGCTGATGTGAAACTATCAGGCTCAGCTACCTTTTGAGTATCGATAGACTTCAATCCCTCCCATATCTCGCCCTCTTGAGGCACCATACTAAAATGTTAGCCAGGTGTAATTTCAGCATTGTTAGGCGCAACAACCCAATTAAATATACTAAAATTTACCTCGGTAGCAGTTTAAAGCTTCTGAAAATATTTTATAACATTAGAAATGATCTGATCTTTTATGTAAACCCACCTCCCATCTTCCTCTTTAACTTTCAACATAACATTGTCATTTCTTATTTTGCTAATATTGATACAATTGTATAAGATCTTTTTATTAATAAAATTAAGATCTTTTTTATACAATAGGTAGACATAGGAAGACTTGGGCTTATTGTATAAAAAAGATCTTAATTTATTAGAACTGAAAATTTGCCACTAAATAGGATGCAATGGAGAAAAAGGATTCATGTAGCCGACCCCACGTAGTGGGTTTAAGGCTTTGTTGTTGTTGTTGTTGTTGTTGTTGTTGTTGTTGTGTTCTTCTAATTAACCCTCTCAGTCTTCTTTCTTAAATTATCTCTAGGCATTCTTAGTTTAGAATGAGCAACATAGCATGAGTCCATATTATGTCAAAAAATCCTACACTTATTGCATTATTTTGGCTTATATTCTACCTCCACTTTTTGCCAATACTCATTATTCGTGTACCAATCCAAACGTCTTCTGCCATTGGTTGAGTTATATCCCTTGCCACCATCACTCTTGCTGCTTAAAATCTACTAAAAGTGAAAGTAGCCAAATCTATTTTCATAGGTGTACCAAAAATGGCTCCAAGAGAAAAAAGAATCTGATGATTAAAATAATGAAATCTCAACCCCTAGAAAGTAATCCAAATAGGAATAATTGGAGGTTCAGTAGATGGATCAAATTTTAGAGTCCACTTAAGAATTTTCATGAAGGCATTTTCAATGTACTAAGGCTTATTACAAAACAATCTAGCATAATCCTCTTCCTTTCTAAGCTTAATAATAATATGTCTTCCATCAAGAGCCTCTACTTGCCAATCATCCTCAAATTTAAGATTTTCAAAATATCTCTTGATAATATCCATATTAGGATTCCCATATGTAAAATTTCCCACCAAGGCAAAATACAAATTTTTAGCAAGCTTTAAATTTTTCAGATTCAGAGAAAATGATAGCTGGCTTGCCACTTTTTCTACCTGCCTTTTTAATGAAACTTCTTCAATACCCATTCCCAAATCCTCATGGAACTGATGAGGGAAAGATAGAGATTTAGGTTCTACCTTGAAACCCATATCAACAAAGGTTGACGTTACCATAACAAAATCAAAACCCACGACCAAAAACAAAAAAGACCTAATCGTTTTCTAAAAGCCCAGCAAAAAGAACAAAATAAAAACTGCAAAAACAATCTCAATCTGATCGCACTAAACCGAGCTATCAAGAGGATAAAAAAACAAACTCCAAACTAATCAGAAAATCGATCAAAATTGAGGATTACCCTCATGAAGAACAACAAACCCTAGTTTCGGCGGAATGATAGCGCCGGCATCCATCATGAAGAATATTATATATATATATATATATTAATTGATTTATGATGTAATGGTGTAGATTGAGAACGAATTTGGGCCACCCGAGTATGATCAAGGAGAACCTGCCAAGAACTATGTAGCATGGGCTGCAGGAATGGCGGTCGGTCTCGACACAGGAGTCCCATGGATCATGTGCAAACAAGATGATGCTCCCGATCCTGTTGTAAGTAATAACTGCTCTTTAGTTGTTTCAATCAGATCTTATAGACTATTGCAATTGAAGCATTCAAGAATTATTGAATATCAATTAGGTGCCCTATGGCTTATATTATATTTATTTTGTTTAGCCTATCATTGCTCAAATACATGATTTTATCGAACTCTCTGGGCTTCTGTTCACAACCTCACAGCCTCCTTTCATTTGTGAAGTCTTATTGTCTTGTTTGCCATTCATTTTGCTTGAATTTTTTCAGCTCAAACTCTGATCTTTCTGGGTTCTTTTTCTTATATTATAGTGATGAATCTTTTTCGGTTTTGACAGATTAACACCTGCAATGGTTTTTATTGTGATTACTTCTACCCAAACCAACCTTATAAACCTACCATGTGGACAGAAGTTTGGACATCCTGGTAAGTTTATCAGTATGGCCTTAGATTGAATCTTGCAGTTTTACTTAGGTCCTATGTGCTTATTTTGTTTACGATTTAGGGGACATAACATGCTTATTTTTGTAATGCCAAGGTTCACTGGATTTGGAGTTCCTGTGCCACATCGGCCTGTTGAAGACTTGGCCTTTTCTGTTGCGAAATTTATACAGAAAGGTGGATCTTTTGTCAACTACTATATGGTAAGAACTCCTGTTGTTCTGATTCAAATTGTTCATGTGGATCCGAGTTTTAATTTGTGTGCTATTATTTCTAGTACCATGGAGGAACGAATTTTGGCCGCACAGCTGGTGGTCCTTTCATTGCAACTAGTTATGACTATGATGCTCCAATTGATGAATTTGGTGAGTGAGAACTCTTTGTTGATGCAATTTAAATACTATTTTTTTGTTTTTTTTTTATTTCTAATTTGCTGAGGACCCCCTTTCATTAAAGCCTATGATTATGAAGATTATCTTCTGTTGTCCTTTATGTTATTCTGTAGGCCATTTGTTTCTTTAGCCGTATATGTTATCTAAACTTCACATGTTCTATTGCATCTTCAAATTTATTTACAAATATACAAAATCCCTAGCTAGATGACTCATCTTCTATTTTTGAGTAGATTCAATCTATTTTCACTAAAATTGTGTAATTTATACAACTTTAGTCATTTTATTTGTTAGGTCTATTGAGGCAACCAAAATGGGGCCACTTGCGAGATCTACATAGAGCTATCAAATTGTGTGAGATGGCTTTGGTTTCTAGTGATCCTGTTGTGACTTATTTGGGAAATTCTCAAGAAGTATAATTGTTTATATCTTTTTTTCATTTTCTAAATGAACATGAATGCTTACAATAGGCATACACTAACTTATACACTTATTATCATATCAGTCACATGTTTTCAGGTCAAATTCTGGAGACTGTGCTGCATTTCTTGCCAACTATGATGTGAAATCTTATGCTAGAGTTACTTTTAATGGAATGCATTATGACCTTCCTCCTTGGTCTATTAGTATCCTTCCAGACTGTAAAACCATAGTTTTCAATAGTGCACGGGTAAGAAGTTAAATTTATTTGTGGACTTTTTTTGTGATTTTTATTAAAATCAGCCATAGGTATTCTGGATTGATGTTTTTTTTTATATTTTGTTTGTGATAAATAAAGATTTATTTACACTGAAAATTTGGGTTTTTAGGCTTGTACTAGCAAGCCTAGCTAATAAAGCCCTTTGAAGGTTGTTACCAAGGTCTTAGAAGCAGATCTCACCCATATCAATTAAAAAAAAACATGTTGGCTTTAAATATTTTAATATTTGCTAATCACCCTGGCAAGAATTTTGATTCTTATAGGAGAACTAAATAAGTATTTTTATTTAGATTGATTATATATTTAGGGCCTTTGGCATCACCTTTGTTCCTTGTTTTTATTTGTTATTTGTTATTTTTTATTTTTTATTTTGCTTTTGAAAAAAATGTTTGGTTAGTATAACTTTTATGTGTTTTATTTTTAATAATAAATGAATTTATTTTTAAAATGCTCAAAACGTTCAAATGATGTTTTGAGTGTTTTAAAAATAATTATCCCAATCAAACATGTTTTAATTTAAATCAAAAAATTAAACTAGAAAAATAAAAAATAAAAGCGATTTCAAACGACCTGTTAGCTAATTCGATTTTTTTAGCCTCTTTGTTTAAACTTGCGCAATATGAGGCACTTCTCAAGCTATTTTTACAAAAGAATTGCTATAAAGCTTATACCTCATTGTCCCAAGGCGAGGCGCACCAATGCCTCAAGGCACACCTCGTCTAAAAACATGCCTCAAATTTCCTAGGCTATCTAGAATTTCTCTAAACAAAACTAAAAGTAATTTCAATGTACCTAATCTATCAACATTCACACCTCACACACCCGTTGGCACAGCTTATTTGTGCATTTGGCATTTTAAAAACGTCTCTTGGATGTTTGTTTCCTGCGTTAGGGATGCTTATCCGAAAAAGACCACACAGCTCGCATCTTCAATCCCGCTTCGAGGGTTTGTTTCCTCTCGTGTCCTTCTATCCGTCTCCTCCCTCGCTCGACCGCTGTTGCTCTAGGCCAATTCTCCTTCGCCTCTCTCCCTCACCTCTTCCTCGGTTACTCCTATCGACAGATCCCAACTTTCTCCTTCCTATCTTTTCCGAGATCCCCGAGTCGGCTTCCTGCACCTTTATTCACGGCGTCCCGTGTCCCACTGGCATCATCCTCTCTCCTTCCTCTTTTTCATCACTCTGCTATAGCGGAAGTTGGTCATTTGAACCTGTCTAATGTCGTGCTTTCCTTCTTATAAGTGTAACATTGATATGGAAATAAGGGTTTGGGCCTCAGCAAGCCCTGGAATTGGCACCATTAGCTTCAAGCATCTTATTTCGTTTTTAATGCATTTCAATGGACATGCCATCCTATTGAGCTAAATTATCGATGTATCTGTGGTAGATTTGTTTTCTTGATTGCTTATTGGTGAGCTGGCTCAGTTTTTTTGGTTGAGACCTCTCTAATGCAATGTTTTTCTATATTCATTGCGGGGGTTTTTTATTGCAACTGTTATCTCTCTGCGGTTTTTCGATTTTGTCGATTTCTTTGGATAATTTCTTTGCGATATTTTACATTTTTTGGATAATTTTGAAGCAAATTGGGTGAATGAGGCTTTCCACAATTCTCCTTTTTGAAAAGTTGTTTAGGGTTGCTCCGTTGCTATGTTTTCTTTGGCTAGAGACTGTGTTGGAGAGTGTGGGTGATGTCCTTGTTGGTGGCTTTAGGTGTGTCTTGCGCTGGGCTTGGATCTGTGGGTTGGTGGTGGATGTGAGTGTATGTGTTGGTGGTTGTGGGTGTTGTTCTTGTTGGTGTTATGTATAGGCTGCGTAGGTGGCTATGAGTGATGCCCGTTGGTTGCATGTGGAGGCTGTGGGTGATGTGGTTGTGTTGGTGGCTATGGGTGATGTGCTTGTTGGTGGCATGTGGAGTCTGTGTTGGTGACCGTGGGTGATGTTCTTGTTGGTGGCTTTGGAGACTTGTTGATGGTTGTGGGTGATGTGCTTTTTGGTGGCATGTGGAGGCTGTGTTGGTGATTGTGAGTGACGTGTCTGTTGGTGGCTATGAAGGCTGTGTTGGTGTGTGTGGGTGATGTGCTTGTTGGTGACATGTGAATGCTTGTTGTGCTGGGTTTGGGTCTGTGGGTTGGTGGTGGATGTGAGTGTGTGTGCTGGTGGTTCTGGAGCCCACGTTAATGGTTGTGGGTGATGAGCTTGTTGGTGACTGTGGAGGTTGTGTTGGTGGCTATGTGTGAGTGTGTGTGTGACTATGGGTGTGTTTTTGGTGGGGGATGGTGGTTGTGAGTGTTGTGCTTCTGGCTAGTGGTACTGTCTCTTTTCTGGTTGATAGTCAGCAAAATTTACTACCGATAATGATCGTGGTTCGATGGTATCCCTGGAGGATGATGCTGCTCGTGTTTAATAGTTTTTTTCTTTTTTAGGAATCTTGATACTCAATCTTAAGTGAGGAGTATATCCTTTTTTGTTATTGTTATGAAGTAGTTTTTGCTTCTAAACTATCAAATGTATAGCTATGACGAGTTTTTTACAAAAAACGCTCTGCACAGGGGTATAATGGTCGTTTATCCAGAAATACCTACAAATTCATTGTTTTCCAAACACAAAAACCTAACAGTCAGTAAGTTTATCCTGATCAGTTGTTGATCAATAGCTTATCAACAGATTATTGTTAAAGTGCAACTGCCCCAAACAATCCCTAAATAATTAGAACTAAAAAAATGTATCTATAAAAATTGGTGTAGTTGAAATTCTAATTATTAACATAGTTAATGTTTTAATTAATATTTTTTAATGATTATTCATTAAAGATAAAAAATTGTTAGCATTAAAGATAATAAGGAATAAGAGAATGTAGGTACAACTAAGTATAAAGCGCTAGTTAAGCAATTCATTAAGCTGATAATTCTCAATTGGGTCATGAGAGTAATAGAGGCTTCAAAGTTAAAATTCAATTCTTGGTGATTTGTTATATTCCTTTTTTATTTTTTATTTTTTATTTTTTTGGTTCAAGTGGGTGGTAGCATGAGTGAGAGAGAAAGATTAATGTAGAATTTATTTTGATTATAATGTTTTGATGTTTGAACATTTTATTTTAATATCTTGGCCTACTCTGATAGTTTAATGTTTATATAACCAATATTTTTTCATAATTTGATGTTTGGATATTAATGTTGCATCTAATTTTATGCAATTTATTGCATTTTACCTGGTTAGAATGCTGATATATTACTTTCTAATGTGTTAATAAATTGGTATATTAATATATTATTTTTTTTCATATTTTATAGTTTCTAAAATATTTATTAATTTACATAATCTTTTAAATTTGAGGCTTATACCTCAAATTACTTTAAGGCTTATGTCTTGCTTCACGAACAAAAAATGCCTCACTACCTAATTGTGCAATTTTAAACATAGCTTAGCCTAGTTCAAAGCTTCATTATATTTGGTGTCAAAACTTCCAATGAAAAGAAGTCCTCAGGTTAATTATTTCTCTCAATTGGAGGACACTTATGATTAACAAGGTCATTGGGCTAAGTCAAATATTTTTTAGTTATCCAAGACATGAGAATAGGTTTTGGGAAGGATGAGTAACTCTTACGAGGTTTCTTGTTTCCATTATTTAAAGATTTTCTTGGTAATCAATCTTTAATTCTTGGGAACTTTTTTGGTTATGACACGGAGACTTCTATTTAGCAATTATGGGAAAGCATCAAAGTTTGAAGGGTATATTATCATTTTCAAAGAAAAAACTTAGTTATTTGTAAGAAATTTGATATAATGATGCCTTGGGTCTAAGCTTATTACTAATTTCATAGCCATCTTATTTTAAATGTGAAGTTTTGGCTTTATTTTGGGGTGGGGTTGAGTCTTAGGGCCCGTTTAGGGCAGCTTATTTGGTGCGGTGGGTAAACTGTGTTTTGGCAGCTTATGCATTTTCAAAGCGCAGAAAACAACGTTTTCACCGCACCTATCTAAGTGCGGTGGCAGCTTATTGGCGGCGGTCTGACTTTTCTAAAAAAATAAAAACTTGTAATAGCCATCGCACCTAGCTTATCAACATATTATTTTTAATCAGCTTATCAGCAGATTATTCAATAAGCTGCAGCTGCCCCAAACATACCCTTAATTCATTAGAAGGGTCTCTTACCCGTGCAAAATTTTCAAATGAAGTCTTAACTATATCTAGAAAATTAGACAATGTGGATCCTTAACTCCGGGATTTTATATGAGGATCTTAAATTAATTATTTTATATTTGAGGTTTAACTTCATGATTTCATATCAGGATCTTAAATTGTTTATTTTATATTAGATGGGTCTATTGTCCATGCAAAATTTTCAAATTAAATCTTAACTATCTCTAAAAAATTAGACAACGTGGATCCTTAACTCCGGGATTTCATATGAGGATCTTAAATTGATTATTTTATATTTGAGGTTGTTGGCGTAAATGAGATTTGCAATAGCTTAGATGTATTCATGCATTTCGGTTGCATGAAGCCGATATAGTCGGCAAAAAATCCTTTTAATCATAAATTTTATATTTGAGGACTTGGCTAAAGGCTTGCATCTATGACACGAGGATTGGTAGGCTGAATCAGCTGGTTAGCCATGTTGCTGTTGGGACTGACCGGTCCAAGTAGGGTTGGATTTGCCACCCAAGGGGAGGGGCCTCCCTACTCCTAGTTATCCTTTATTATAAATATGCTATTTTGTTGTTTAGGGTTTTAATTTTTTCTGATTTCATATTTCTTATTGTTGGTGTTTTCCCTTGCTTCGATTGTATCCTGCTCCAATGTGGTGACTATCTCCATATAATCCATTATCCATTACTCACTCCTGCTTGCTACCCATTTTTCTTGTTTCTCTACCATCAGCCCTACTCTACACCCACTACTACCGCCGAACCCCCACAACACCACCAACTATTGTCATAAGTCTCTCTTGCATCCCCACCTGCTGCTGG